GAATGACCTATTTCTTTTTCCATTGCTATCACATAGCGAGAACAGAAGAAAAAGCCAGAGAAAGAAGCCGATTCATTATTTCATCTTTCGTTGAAAGAAATGTAGGTTAAAACGAATGTAGGTCATCTCAAGAAGATAAAGAAACACGTTTCTGTTTCGTTAGGCTTTGTCAGAGTTACATTATTATATCAAAAGATGGATGCTTCAGTTCTCCTTGTTTTTCTCGTACTTCACCTTCTCATCGGCAGTTGCTCATGTGCATGTGAGTTATGTCTAAAGTACTGAATTTGTCCCCTTTAAGTGGCTCATTTTACATTTAAAAAGGTTCAACTTCACAGAATGGCAAGGCAAAAGTTTTAGTTGAATAAGATCTGCTAGATTGAAAATTGATAAGTTCCTTTCGTCAGAGGTAGTTAAGACAGACTACATGAGTGAACGTTTTTGGGTGAGCAGTCGAGATTAATACTTCACCAGGATGGAAGTTCCCAGAAAAGCGAAACGAAATCATTCTTTAAAAGCCACATTCAACCGCAAAAAAACTTAAATCGTCAGATAATTGAAATGGGTGCCATATCTTTGGAAAACGCTTATGGGTCGTACGACTCTTGCCCGTTTTCTCCTTCTTCTATTCTCAACTGTGCGGCATTTTCCTCAGAAACAACCATTTCAAATTCTGATTCCCAATTTTTCTACAGTACCGATGAGGCATACGTTCTTAGTGAAAACTCTCCGAGAATGGAACAGTCCACCTGCCGATGCTGTGCCTATTCTTCTTTTAGTTTATTAGTTGCCAAACTTGAACAGTTCTACTAGGAACAAATACTTTTTATGTCTCCCCGTGTTTTCTCTTCTCTTCTCTCTCTTCTTTTCTTTTACTCTTTGTCGTGTTGTCTGCCATAGAGTGAACGTCTATAAGCCGCTGTGATTTTGTTCATGCCCTTGTTGCGTCTTCATCAAGAATAAACCCGAGATTACGATTAAGATTAAGCCAAAACGCTCTCAGTGGCAACTATGAAACAGGGAAGAACACAAATATACCTTGAAGTCCCCTTTTCCAAAGTTGAAATTCTGGATTT